AAAACTGACCTCGGGCGCACAGGGGTGCTAAAACATCAAATCGAGACTGGAGATGCAGTACCAATCAGGACTCCACCCCGTAGGATACCGATGCACCTGCACGAGGAGGTACGTAATTTGATAACCAAGATGTTACAGAGCAACGTTATCCGGCCATCTAAATCACCATGGGCGTCCTCTATCCTACTGGTAAAGAAGAAGGACGGTGGTTTACGCATGTGCATAGACTACCGAAGACTCAATCAAGTGACTAAGCGGGACGCATTTCCCCTTCAAAGAATGGATGTGTTATTCGACACTCTCGGGTGATCAACCTGTTTTACGACCTTGGACCTGGCTTCGGGTTATTGTCAGGTGGAGGTGGAAGAAAAACACCAGCCCAAGACGGCGTTCGTGGTGCTTATAGGTTTATATGAGTTTCAGACTATGCCTATTGAACTAACGAACGCACCGGCGACGTTTCAGAGACTCATGCAGGAGGTGCTACAAGACCTAGTACCAAGTAAGTGTTTAGTGTACTTAGATGATGTTATCCATGGAACATCTGCAACCGAACATCTGCAAAACGTAGCGGAAGTATTACACCGGATTATGGCGAGTGACCTAAAGCTGAAACCCTCTAAATGTATGTTTATGCAGCCAGAGGTAGCGTACCTGGGTCACAAAATATCTAAGGCAGGGGTTTGCACCGACCCACAGAATGTTATGGAAGTGCAATCGTGGCCGACGCCCCAAAATGTGAACGAAGTGCACGGGTTCCTGGGCCTCGCTTCGTACTATAGAAGGTTTATAGTCGACTTCGCCAGAATAGCCGCCCCACTAAATGCGTTGTTGGAGAAAGGACAGACGTTTTAATGAGACAGCGTGCGGGGAAGCAGCTGAAATGCTACGAATCAAACTATGTTCAGCACCGGTCCTGGCTTTCCCCGAAACATCCATCTCCGGCCGGAGTTTCATCCTCGATACTGATGCTANGCTAACACTAGTATTCTTCGTAAAATACTACCGGCATTACTTAATGGGGAAGAGGTTCATTGTCCGCACGGATCATCATTCATTGCAATGGTTGCAGAATTTCAGAGATCCAGAAGGGCAGATAGCGAGATGGCAAGAAGCTCTACAAGAATACGATTTCGACTGTCGCCATCGACCGGGAAAGCAGCAAAAGAACGCAGACGCCTTGTCAAGAAGACCGGCCCGTAACCATGG